CACTATATCCAACCTGTGCTTCAGAAGGCTGAAAACAGATGTACTCGCATGTGGTTTTAATCTGTTTCATGCTGCTCCATTTCCAAGTAACAAGTACCAATTTCACAAGCGAGAAAAAACACGAATAACAATAAGATACAATATTCCCCAAATAATCATCTAGGCATCTACAGTAGTAAAAAGTTTTTCTGTCCAGGTGAAGAAAAAACTTGATAAGCCTAATAATATTGTAGCAATGCACAAGCTGCCACCTGGGGGATCAAAATTCAAAATCAGCCTGTAGCTCAGGCTCTAGGCTTATGAGACTGGGTGTGCAGTAAAGAAAATGAATTCGGTCTCTAGGGAAGAGGATTGTCACTGGTGTTGGTTATGGAGAAGGCAATACACAATTTCGTGGATAAAAATAACATCCAGACTTGCCAGCTGACCAGAGAAAGGACAGGGAGCTAAGGAATGAGGAGAACCGTTTCCCCCAGCACAAAGAGCTAAATCCCTGTACATAGAAAAAATCGTAGTAGCCTCAAAATTCTTAGAAAAGCAATTAAAAATAAATTATAAGAAAACCTAATTGAATTATGAAAGCTAGGTACTCCTTTGAACATTTGTTTAAAAAAATGTAAGTTTTCCAACAAAGCAGTTGGAATCAATAAAAAAAAAATAAAGAAATTCAAAAGCTGTACTTGAAGGTTCCTAGGCCTGTTAAGCATTTTGTTGATAGTAAAAATAAAATTTTTTAACTCCATTACAGCAAGGGAGATTTTTTGTTCCCAAATGAAAAATACAAATTAAGTTTTCTAGCTCTTTTGAAAATTTAAGTTAATAATAGCCACACCAATAGATTCAACTTGTAGTTCCCGTAGCAATTTTAGGCGTTATTATTTAAACATACACACACAAACTGCATACCTACGAGGAACTAGAAATGAAAGAGAAAAACAAATGAGGTCATTCATAATTTATGAAATTATTTTTAAGATTATTAAAGTTGTCTTTGAATTGTGAAGTCTTTAAAACAATCAAATCTTTTTTTTTTTTTTTTTCTGAGAGGTATATTGTTCTTTACTAATCTCAGAATTAATACGAATTTTCTTTTCTTTTCTTTTCTTTTGGGGGGGCGGTGACAGAGTCTCTCTCTTCTGTCAGCCAGGTTGGAGTGCAGTGGCCCGATCTCGACTCATTGCAACCTCTGCCTGCCAGATTCAAGCAATTCTCCTGCCTCAGCCTCTGGAGTAGCTGGGACTACAGGTGCACACCACTACACCCGGATAATTTTTCTATTTTCAGTAGAGATGGGGTTTTGCCATATTGGCCAGGCTGGTCTCGAACTCCTGACCTCAGGTGATCCACCTACCTCAGCCTCCCAAAGTGCTAGGGTTACAGGTGTACGCTACCACACCTGGCTAATGTCAATTTTCTATTTTCTGTTTCTAAGGAAGCAGACCACTGGAAAAGTATTTTATTTATTTTCAAAATGAATTGGCAGGTGTTAGACACCTATTTCAAAATGATAATTTTTTTTTTTATTCAAATTTTATTATTTTTATTACCTTTAAACAAAATTTCACAATAGAATGAACCACTGTTAAAATCAAGCATAGTATTCCTAAAATAGCTATCTAAATCAGAAGGTAGTTCGACAAGAAATGAAATGCTGCCCTGAGCAAAAACAATGTCTTGGCAGTGATAGGCTATGGTGATACAAAGGTCGTGATCTTCTTTGAAAAAGAAAACAAGCATAACTATAATCTGGCATTTTAGGTCCATGCACTCATCTGTGAATTCTTCACTGCTCTTTGTAGGAAAAAACACACAAGGTTCCTGTAATATACTCAAGTCAGACTGGCACCTAAACTTAAACTGAAGCTGGCTTTTTTGATGAGCATGAAAGCAGACTTAGATGTTTAGTAATAATACATGTAATTTCTTTAGTGTCTTCTATGAACTAGGCAATATGCTGAAATCTATAGCTGCATCATATCATGTCATCCTCACAGCCACCAGAGACTGCAGTGACAGGTGGCAGTTTAACCAGATCTAATTCCAAAACCCACTGTCTTTCTATTCCGTCATGCTGCAGTCCATAAATCACTATTTTACAAAATCTGTATGTTCCCAGATTATCAATCAGACTTAATTTATTCTGTCATCAGACCTAACTTTTGATTATCCCTATAATATCAGCTTAAAGAAACTTAACTTAGTAAAAATTGGTAAGGAGAACTTAAAAAGAGAATATAGAATAAAGGCAGAACTTTAAACAATTACCCGTTGAGCAAACTAGAAGAAAAAAATCTGATAGAGATGTCCTGGCTAAAACTGATGGCCAAGGAAATTCTATTGTCAATCGTATGAGAATACCGTGTGCTGGCCGGGCACAGTGGCTCACGTCTGTAATCCCAGCACTTTGAGAGGCCAAGGTGGGTGGATCACCTGAAGTTAGGAGTTCAAGACCAGCCCAACCAACAAGGTGAAACTCCATCTCTACTAAAAATACAAAAATTAGCCAGGCGTGGTGGCAGGCGCCTGTAGTCCCAGCTACTCAGGAGGCTGAGACAGGAGAATTGCTTGAACCCAGTAGGCAGAGGTTGCAGTGAGCTGACATCGCGCCACTGCACTCCAGCCTGCGCAACAGACCAAGACTCTGTCTCAAAAAATAAAATAAAATAAAATAATAATAATAATAATGTGTGCCAACTCTTTTATCTAACCTAAGTATTAGTTAGAGGCTTGCTTCTTAAAATGTCACATAACAAGTTGTTTCTATCCACTGCTGTTTGTAGCCTATGTTTTCTGTGATAAAAAACATAGGCACTTAGAAAATGATTTCTAATTACTTATTATCTGTAGTACCTAGTGTATGGGAAGCTCTTTTAAAATTTGCTGAAAGAATTAAACACATTAAGAATATACAAATGTTCTTTAACCACTTTTTCCATATTTTTTTTTTTTTTTTGAGACAGGGTCTTGAAGAGCAGGAACACAGCTCACTGCAGCCTCAACCTTCCCGGCCCAAGTGATCCTCCTGCCTCAGCAGCCCATGTAACTGGGAACATAGATGTGGGTTGCCACAACTGGCTAATTTTTTATTTTTATTTTTTTAATGTTTGTAGCGACCAGGTCTCACCATCTTGCCCAGGCTGGTCTTGAACTCCTGGGCTCCAGCCACCCTCCACCTTGGCCTCCCAAAGTGCTGGGATTACAAGTGTGAGCGACCACACCAGACCTTAACTTTTTTAAAAAAAAAAATTACTTTATTATATAAAGACAGGGTCTCACCATGTTTTCTCCTTTTTCAAATTACTTTATTATACAGAGACAGGGTCTTGTCATGTTGCCCAGGCTGGTCTCGAACTCCTGGGCTCAAGTGATTCTCCCTCCTTTCCCTCCCAAAGTGCTATAGATTCACAGCAAGTTGGAAAAGTAGTACAGAGAAAGCCTCATGTACCCTTTATCCAGTGTTCTCAAAAGGTAACATTTTACATAACTATAATACAAAACCAGGAAATTGACATTGGTACAACCCACAGACCTTATTCATATTTTTCCTTTAGCTATTTTTTAAGAGTGTACAATTTTTCTGGTGCTAGAAATAGCACCTTAGACTCTCCGTTTTTCTGAAGAGAAAACAAAGGGTCCAAGAGGCTGAAGACTACCCAAAGTCAGAGTGCTAAAAAGTAGCAAAAATAAAGCCAATTCTGAGTGAGAGATCATCTCTCCACAGCTATTTAGCATGCATCTGCACTAGAGTCATCCACTAGAATTCCATGAGAAATTCAGTAAAGACCTTCCAAATAATTCTTATTTCAAAGGTATCACATCAGATGGATGCCCACTTTTTACACATTATTTTATTTTCCCTCTCTCCAGACACCTAAAAGCTTTCCTCATTAAAAAAAAATTGTCACCATTGGTCTACTGAAAAATACATAAAATGTTTTTCTGCATCAGTAACATGATAAGCCAAACTTAAAGGGAAACTAGGCTAAGCGGGTCACCAGTTGAAACAACAGGCTGCCTTGTCACCTTTGACCTCAGTGCAAAGTTCTATGTCTGGCACAAAGCAGTGTCATAAACACTGAATCACTGAATGAATGAATCAGCCAACAACTTAAGTGGGATGACCAAATAAACCAAACATTCTCAGTTTCTAAAAAAAACAAAACAAAAAAAAACACCTGCTTTCTAATAAACTGATATTTTTATCCAGAAAAATGTTTTGTGAGATACTTTTCCCAACGTCAGAGGAAAGGCCCTTAGGAAATATCTAGTCTTGTAATTTTCATTCCTGGCTAGACGTTAGCATCACCTAAGATATTAAAAAAATACCATGCCAAGCCCGCACCCCATGTATGGAATGGGGTCCAGACATCTACATTTCATTTTTAAAGTACCCGAGGTAACTCTATGTCTTTACAAAGATGAAGAAATTGAGGCCTAGTCAAACAGAATGTCTTATTCAAGGTAACACAACTTGTCAGTAACATGAGACCAGAATCCATGCAGAAATAGTACTTTTTTTTAACATAATACATAGAAAAAAATTCTGAGAACTACGAAACTTCATTTTAACTTTGAAACTATTGGTTATTTTTTAAAATATGAAACTAGGCAAAAATTCTACCAACATGTGAACTCTTCCTGGGATATAATCACTGTCATAAGTAGGCAGACATAAACAATTGAGGCACTGAGAAGTTATTACCTGAGATATTAAAAAAATAATAATAATAAGGGATGTGGTTGGTATCTTTGAGCTAATTGCCCATTCTTGGCAATTAGTATGCATGTAGTACTCTTAACTGGTATCACGATGGCTCCACTGTAGAGGTTCATCAAATATGTTGGATATTTTAACAAAAAGAGGTATATGTGTAAAATTGATAGAACTTACTGCATACAAAGTGACTCCATAATATTTGCCATACTGTGTATCAGATTAAATAGTTAATACACATTTAAAGCTATTGTCTAAAATCAATTGGGTATATTTCTAAACTTACCTTTAATGGTATCATTTTCAGCTCTCATTATGTCAATGAGTGAACTCTCCAGTGAGTGCATGTCAAATGTCCTGGGGCGATCCTGTAGACACAAACAGCCACAAACCACTTTTTAAAATAGCATTTAAATATAAAACAGGACAGTAAGTTTCATTAGACGGGACACAGATCACAAAGTAGCAATTTTACTCTCTATATAAGGCATATTATTACTAAATGTTATTATTAACACCAAACATCAAAAACCACAAAAGTGCATGCACAGGGCTCAGCAAAGAGTGATTTGATTTCTAATAATAATTTCAACAAAAGCATCACGTTTATTCAGAAAGCCAAAACCATTAAAACTATTTTCTGTATTAGTTAAGAACACTACATAAATGTAAAAAGAAAAAAAAATCATTATTCTTTCCCATCACTTAAGATTGCAAAAACGTGGCAAAGCTTTCCAAACTTGTCCCATTAGTTATCTGCTAGACTGGTACCTATATGTGCCGTTCAAAATAGCTATATTTTCTTATAAGGCAAGGTTTAAAAACAGTCATCAAATGATTGTAAGACTACTAAATGGTAAAGTATACAAAAACAAATGAGAGAAATCTTTTTTTTTTTTTTTTTTTTTTACAGAGTCTCTCTCTGTCGCTTTTTTTTTTTTTCAGTGGCGTGATCTCACCTCATTGCAACCTCTGCCTCCCAGGTTCAAGTGATTCTTGTGCCTCAGCCTCCAGAGCAGCTGGGATTACCGGCACCCGCCATCATGCCCAGCTAATTTTTTGTATTTTTAGTAGAGATGGGGTTTCATCATGTTGGCCAGGCTGGTCTTGAACTCCTGACCTCAAGGGATCCACCTGCCTCAGCCTCCCAAAGTGCTAGGATTACAGGCATGAGCCACTGGATCCAGCCAAGATAAATTATATACTTATTTTATGAAAATAAAAATATTGATTTATCCATCTCTATGTATTATCAAAGTTGTTCTTGACTATTAATGATTTGCCTTCTCTGAAGATTTGTTTTTAAAACTAATAATGTATATAGAAAGTTGAAAAAAAATCTCCTTCCTTCCAAAAAACATGTAAAAAAAATTTTTGGTAGACTCTCCCTTCCCCCAACATAAAAATAAATCTGGAATAATGAAGCACAGAAGCTGCTCTCATTACTGTCACGAGGCTTTCTCTAAGGAGAAGGATGAGAATAGCAATAGAGAACTGCTGAAGCATGTTCTGTCCCTCCCTGCCCCCAATGCAACATGTTATTAGGTCCCCAAACAACCTAGTCATTACTTTTGGTAAATAAAGGATAAAAGGATCAGAGTTAGAATAAGAGTTAGAACCTAGATGAGAAAGCAAAACAAAACAAAACAAAATCTCAATTCTTATTTACTCTCAACTTGCAAAATTAGGCTTGATTTTGTTGCCATTAAAATTAAAAGGAAGGAAGAGTGTGGGGTACATTGCTGACCTAAACCCCTGGCTTAACCAAGTGCATTTCGAGAGTGAGAATGGAATCCTAAAATATACAACATCCCAAGTGCTCTGACATTCCTCAGGATGAAGAGTACTAGAGACAACTAAAATTAAGGTTTAGCTTGATAAATTAGAAGTAGGAGATGAAAACATTTTAAAATTAAACTGAGATGAAGCAATAATACATGTTCTGACCCACCTTAAGGATACTGTACATAAACACACAAAGGCCGCTGCAAGAATATTAAAGAAAAAGGGGATCCCAAAGGAATCTGCAAGGAGATTTCTAAAAGCTTCTATTCAATTATGTTTCCTTTTACATTACTATTTAAATTCAAAGCTTTGACTTTTCTTTAAAAAAAATCACCTCCTAATTGTATCCCCTTCATTTTTCTACTTTCCTAGCTAACTTCTAGAACCTCTAAGCTGACAGAGGATGTCCTCCACTTGAGAGCATTTTTATTCTTTTTGGATGGACCTAACATTTCTCCTCTGTGCTTTTATAACACATCTTACCCACAGGATTATTCTGCTTCCCTGAAATAGGGACCAATCCTCCTGATCCCATCTCATCATGCAGATATTCAGTAATGTGCACTGAGTGGTTTTATAATACAACTGCAACTTGAGGAGTCCAAGGACAGTATATTTAGGTAGAATCCAATATTACAGGTAAGAGACAGTATTTCAAGTTCTCCCCCAGGGGTTGGAAGGTTAGGGTGAGGATGAGGATGGGGAAGAGTGAACAGGTGCCTTACCATCCTATACTGCTCTAAACTGGTATGAATCCCTCCAGAACATCTTTGCCTCACCTCTTCCACCAGATTCTTTCCTCATTATCCTCATCTCCTGAACAAGATCTATCTAACGAGAGGCAGGAGTACACATGGCCAGGATCAGACTAAGGGTTAGTATTCCCAAAAGAGAGAAGCTGTTCTGTGTTTACACTTCCTCATCTCAAGCACTAAATTAAATCAAAACCTGCATATTTTTCAGAAGCCAAGTAGACTTGAGGCATAATTTGAGGTTTAGAAGTTAATATAAAATTACGCTATCTCATTCTGTAGTTGCTGGATATGTTCTCTTTCAGCAATGAACCACACCTTTAAAAGGACCATCCATTTCCATCTCCAATACAAACCGGTCTTGGAGGCAATAATTCTTGGTGTCCGTTCACTGACTGTGAGCTTCCCAAGAACAGGAACTATGTCTCACATCAAATATTTCCAGTGTGCCTACCACAGCGGGGTGATGGTGTGCCAAGTCAGTCATGTCCTAAGCCCACGAGACTACCCAAAAGATCCTGAGGTGGCAGGAGCTTCCTGGCAGATGATCTCTGTTTAAAAATTATCATTTTCTATGTGTGTCATGCTGTAAAACAGGTTAAGAAGCACTGTCCTGTATTTCTGTATCACTCTGCCTCACATAGGTCTTGGCAGGTAGAAAGCACGCAAATGTTTGCTAAATCAATGAATGGATGTATTCCTTCATGTAATTTCTAAACATTTAAAATCTTTATTCTCTGCTACTTCCTTAAGATTTGTCTTTATATTTCCTCCTTTCCCTCTAAAGAGCTGTCTGTTTTCTTTTGGGGGAGGGGAGGAATTAAGTTTAGTGTTGTTTTTCATGCAACTAACAGAGTAAGCAACCTAATGAATTTCTGAAACATGCATTTTGTCAATCACTGAATGACAAGAGCACTGAAAAGAAGCAATTGATAAAAAATATAACACAGACTATTTTTGTTTGGTTTGCTTTATAAGAACTATTTCCAGTAAGTCAAGAAGCCTCCATTTTACCTGTAAGTTTTTGTTTTTGTTTTTTTACCTATAGGGTTTTTTTTTTTTTTTTTTTTTTGAGTTTTTTTCTCGCTCTGTCACCAGGCTGGAGTGCAGTGACATGATCTCGCTCACTGCAACCTCCGTCTCTCGGGTTCAAGCGATACTCCTGCCTCAGCCTCCTGAGTAGCTGGGACTAAAGGTGTGTGCCACCATGTTCAGGTAATTTCTATATTTTTTAGTAGAGATGGGGTTTCACTATGTTGGCCAGCATGGTCTTGATCTCTTGACCTCGTGATCCGCCTACCTTGGCCAAAGTGCTGGGATTGCAGGTGTAAGCCACTGCACCTGGCAACCTACAGGTTTTTAAACGTGGTATTATGAATGGAATTTAGTAAATGATTCCACACCTTCCTCCCACTAGCCTGCCCCACGGGCACCCCAAACATATTGCGGGAAACAAAGATTTTTGCTGACCTCTAACTGGTAAAGTACACTAAAACTAAAATCCTAAATTAAATTTTAAATTTTCAGTAATGTTTTATGAAATGAAAAAAAAATTTATTCACCCTTTTTACATTAACTTTTAGTAAAAAAAAAAATTTTTTCCTATAATGTGTTACAATACAGGGACGACAAGTAAATACAAATACATAAAGTTTGTTCAATTGGTACTGACTATTAGATGCAAGGTGTTTTGAGAAGGATTCTCAGACTCCACAGGGACTCAGAAGGAAACTGCCTCCACAGACTGCTACAAGGTAGAAGGTCCAACAGCACAAGTACTTCATTCTTGCCAAATCTAGTCTAATATGTATTCTTCCCCACGACCCAAACTTATTAGCAAGTATAGCTACTATAAACATTTTGTTTATGACGCTTTGGTAATTCAAAGAGTGCAAAAGCCACATATTTTGTCAAGTAAGCATTCTGTTCTCAGAGCAGGTTTTAAGGTTGTCATTCTTGATTTACTCCCTCACTGATCTTTTCTGTCCATTTTTAACATCTAATTTAAAAAATCCTAAAATGTGTCTGTACCATTAGGAAATAGGTAAGGGGGACACAGATAAATAAACCCAAAGTATAAGAACAGTACAAACAATGCTGGTTTTCCTACGCAACAATTAAAGAGTCAAATCAAAAGTGTAAGAGTGCTTTGATTTCCATATTTCATTCTTCGATTTTGCCTTTTTAAACTGTTAATTGGATCAAATATAACCACTGACCTATTTTCTAGGCTCCATTTCCCAAAGATTCCAAAGATTAAACTAACTGTAAAATAGAAACCTTGTTAGGTGATGCTCTTCTTGGTTGAACTTGAGCTAATGACCAAAACATGAACATTAGCATAAATGAGTGGAATGGGCATTAGACACTAGGAAGCTTCAACTCTGCCTGTCGTGTTATATGAGCTTGGGCACTTTTGTCCTTTAGACCTCTTTCCTGGTCCATAAAAGGAGTGGTTTGATTGGATCTCTAATGTCCCTGTCCTAATTCCAAAATACATTTGTATTCTAGCTTTTTGATATCCTAACATATCTTGCTCTTTCAAGATTTACAGTTTAAATTATGACAATTATGGCAGGAACCAAAAATAAGGATGAGAATTTATTAATCAAAGTCCATCACTTTTGTCCACAAAAAGGCAAGGGTCAGTGATCAATTAGCAAGAAAATGATCACTTAGAGTCTTAAAAGGACAATCATGGCCAGGTGCAGTGGCTCACACCTGTAATCCCAGCACTTTGGGAGGCCGAGGCGGGCAGATCATGAGGTCTGGAGTTCGAGACCAGCCTGCCTAACATGGTGAAAAAATACAAAAATTAGCTGGGCTTGGTG